GTCGCCCCCTCCACTCCCACCACCCTCCGACCCCGTTCGACTCCATACCCCCCCCCCCCCCTCCCCCACACGCAGATGGTGGTGTTCTGCCCCAACCTGGGCCTGCTCAGCGCGGTGGTGCTGTCCCTGGTCCCCCTCCTCCTGCCCTTTGGCTGGCAGAGCCTGCTGCTCCCCGTCATGCCCTACCCCCGCTCCCGCCTGGACCTGCTGGACGCGCCGGTGCCCTTCGTGGCCGGCATCCAGTACAAGACGCCCGAGGTGTGGGCGCGCTGCGGCGCCCTGGTCCGCGTCAACGTCTACAAGGACCGGGTGAGCAACGCGGGGCGCCTGGCGCCACTGCCCTCACGCGCCACGCTGGCCGAGGCGCTGGCGGGGACCTACGCCGAGCTGAGCGCGCTGGGGCGCACGCCCGCTGCACGCGCGCGCCCCGCCCACCAGGTCTCGGACGCGCAGGCCGCGCTGGCGGGCGTGTTCCTGTCCACGGTGCAGACCTACCTGCGTTCCCTGGTGTCCGACCTCCGCGCCTACACCATCACCGACGTCTCCGCCAGCCAGGAGCGCACCAGGTGAATGGGGGGGTTGTGTGTCTAGGTGGGGAGAGGGAATGTGGTGTTTCATTGAGGTGGGGTGAAGAGGAGGGGACAGTCATGGGGAAACGTGGTGGAAAGAAGCAGTGAAGGCATTGGGGAGGGAATCGCTGGCTACCGGGAGCGAGGCTCCTGCTTCCATCGTCCCGGCCCGCACCAGGGGAGCCAGTGCGCGCCGTTGTGCGGCTTGTCGGCGGTCCATGCTCAATTGTCCTGGGTTGCGTCGCTTGGAACAGCACACACCATTCCTTGCGCATCAGCTTGACCCACCCCAAATCTGCCCACCCTGCATTGCTTCGTTGCATGCCCCCGGACACCCCCCTCCTTGGTGAACGACACCTCGCAGTCCGACATTCCCCCCTTCTTCCACTCATCGCAGCATCCTGCTGCGCGAGTCGTTCATCGAGTCGGTGCCGGCCAAGGACAGAGCCTTCATGACCGCCTTCTCCGAAACACAGATGTTTGCGGTGTACACTGACGCCGTGCTGGCTGGTGCCGGCACATGATGCCTGAACCCCCCCTGCCCCTTGCTACAGACAATTTCAACCCCCAGACTGGCTTGTGTACACATGCTGAAGACCCTTGGGCATGGCCCTTGCAGCCTGGCTGGACCTTGGCACTAGCAATATCAAGAAGGTATTTACAGCAAGGACACGAGGATCCCGAGGGGTAGATACATCTGCAACTCCGCCCCGTCAGAGCTCTGACAGGTCGGACCCTTCCCGGATGTACACAACCTTGCCCGACAGGTACCTTGCCACCAGCGGCGTTTTCCTGCATGGTGGGATGGGGTTGATCTCTCAAACTCCTGAGGCAGCAGCATGCTCTCCCTGCAGCGAGGCCAGCAGGCCGGCGCAAGCAACGTGACACACACCCTCCCCTCCTGATTCCTGGTGCTCACTTGGAGGCGGCGAGGCGCTCGGGGTTCTTCATCTTTCTTGGGTCCTTGGCCATGGGGGGGTTGTGCTCATGCGTCGCCAGCCACTCCCTGCAGGATGAACGGACTCCCAGGATCACTCGATTGGGGACACGAGGGGCCAATCATTGCACCCTCCAAAGCAATCAGGCCAGAGGCGCGACATGAAGTTGCCACCTGCACACCAAACCGCAGCCCACGACAAATAGGCGGGCCTCACGTGCGCTCTGACCGCGCATCCTCGAAGGGAAGCTTCCACAGGTTGATCCCCGCCTCCTTGGCCATCACAGAGAGGCCCCTCTTGTCTATCGTCTTGATGGCCTTTGTGCATAGCTTCAGCCGCACCCAGCGCTTGCCCTCCGGCCAGTACACCTTCTTGTCCTGCAGGTTGGGCTGTTGCAGCTTCCGATTGCGCTTGTGGGAGAAGGTCACGTTGTACCCGTTGTTGGCCTTCTTGCCCGTGAGGTCACAGACGCGGGATGCTGCGGAGAGGGAAAGGGCATGGGGGTGGGTGAACAGTCAGGGTGAGAGGCCGAGCGTGGATTCCGCGCCGATGCATTCGCCAGCAGGCCGGGTGCGGGGAGGATACCTGTGATGTTGAGCTGGTGCCGCAGCTGGGGAGGCGACGAGATGCTGACTCGCTGGAAGGCTGCAGACAGGCCACGAAACGTGGACTGCGTGCTTCCCAGCTTGGGCAACGCCCCCGCAGAGCGCAGGCTCGCCATGCTACCACTTGGGCCAATGTATGCGGGTGTAATCTGCTTTTGGATGTGCAGTATCGGCAAACCGCAGCCCAGAGTTCCTGTGAGTGAGGCTGTCCACTACAGGTCTATCCATCACTCCGACTCGTAAGAAAGCGCGGGGTGGAGTCGCAAGGCGCGGCTGCGACTCACACACCCATCACTCGCTTCGAGGCCTCGATGTGGAGCTTTTGGACGAGCACCGTACCGTGCCTGATTGCAACCCTCTGCGCATTGGGCTTCTTGGAGAGGTGCGCCATGGAGAGGGAAAGGGGCTGCACTGTCTCCGCGCACCGTGTTGGGACGGCCTTGCACGATCTCATTGCTGAGACGGGATCTGTAATGCCCTGAGCAGGCATATGTAACTGGTATTGAGGCGTATATATCTGCAGAGCTTGTACTGTCTTCGTATGCTACCTCGGAGTCTCCCTCCATTGGGGGTCCTGGGACTCCAAGCCTATTCGTCTCAGGAAGGAAGTACTCTAACTAGGTCCTGATGAATAATCTCATCGCAGCCATACGAACCTCCTCACAGAATCTGCAAGAATGACGGAGGCAGAGGCGGTGCAGGCAGCTACGTCTGCAGGTCCTGTGGACCCTGAGAAGGCCGCCAAGAAGGTGCGTCAGGGATTGGGACACCCTTTTGGCATTTTGGACTGTCTATTGCTGGCAGCAGGTGTGAATGGCAGACGAGGATGCACGAGTTCTGGAATCTTTAGTATAGGTTGTATAGTATGGCACCTTCAGCCCCACCAACCCATCCACCCCTTCAATCATCGCACCAACAGGCCGCCAAGGCAGCCGAGAAGCAGGCCAAGAAGCAAAAGGCGCTGGACCGGGCAGCCGCGGAGGCAGCCAAGGCTGCGGAGGGCGCTCCGGCCGGCAGCTCGAGGAGGGCCAAGGCCAAGGAGGAGGCCGAGGCCAAGAAGGTGAGATCTTGCATGGACTTCAACAGCGCCTGCAACGCTTCTGGTACTGGACGGCTGCTTGGCAGGGAGGTGGTCTTGGGCTGAGTGTTATACAGCATCTCTAGAGTAGGCCCCGACGCACCTTCCTTCCAGGCCGTCGAGGCCGCTGAGCTGGCGGCATGGCTGGAGCAGGCGCGGACGACCCCCAAGGGCTCCAAGAAGGAGCTGCCTGGCAAGATGCCCAAGGGCTACGACCCCAAGGCCGTGGAGACCGCCTGGTGCGTTGGATGGCGTGTCGTTATGGGTGTTGGATCCTGTGGGGCGGCTGGGTGCTGGGGCCCCGGGTTCAGGCACCACGCGGGTGCAGGCTCGCATGCACACCATGCGCTCCCTCGATCTTCGCCCTCCCGTCGCCCTCGTTTCACCCGTGTGCCTTGACCGATGGCTCCCCCACTCCTTCTCCTGACCTGAAAAGGTACGACTGGTGGGAGGCGTCTCGCTACTTTGCCGCGTCCAGCGACTCCTGCAAGCCCCCCTTTGCCATGGTCATCCCCCCCCCAAACGTCACGGGGTCGCTGCACATCGGCCACGCGCTGACCCTGGCCATCCAGGACACGCTGTGCCGCTGGCGGCGCATGTCCGGCTACGAGGTGTGCTGGGTGCCCGGCACCGACCACGCCGGCATCGCCACGCAGACGGTGGTGGAGCGCCAGCTGGCGCGGGAGACGGGGCAGACCCGGCACGACCTGGGCCGCGCCGCCTTCCTCGACCGCGTGCACGACTGGGTCGCGCGCCATGGCGACCGCATCCTGTACCAGTGCCGGCGACTGGGCGCCAGCCTGGACTGGGACCGCCGCGTGTTCACCATGGACGCCAAGCTGAGCGCGGCGGTGCAGGAGGCCTTCCTGCGCCTGCACGCCCAGGGCCTGATCTACCGCGACCACCGCCTGGTCAACTGGGACTGCCGGCTGAAGACCGCGGTCAGCGACATCGAGGTGGACTACGTGGATGTCCCCGGGCCGACGATGCTGGCCGTGCCCGGCTACACCGAGCGCGTGGAGTTTGGCGTGCTCACCTCCTTTGCCTACCCGCTGGAGGGCGGGGAGGGGGAGGTGGTGGTGGCCACCACCCGCCCGGAGACCATGTTTGGGGACACGGCCATTGCCGTGCACCCCGAGGACCCGCGGTACCAGGCGCTGGTGGGTCGGCACGTGGTCCACCCGGTGAACGGCCGCCGCCTGCCCATCGTGGCCGACGCGGAGCTGGTGGACATGGCCTTTGGCACGGGCGCGGTCAAGATCACGCCCGCCCACGACCCCAACGACTTTGCCACCGGCAAGCGGCATGGCCTGGAGTTTGTCAACGTGCTGGACGACGACGGCAGGATGAACGGCAACGGCACCGGCGAGTTCGCGGGCATGCCGCGCTTCGCCGCGCGCGTGGCGATCGTGGACTGGCTGAAGGCGCGCGGCCTGTTCCGCGGCGCGGCGCCCAATCCCATGCGCCTGGGCGTCTGCTCCCGCTCCTCCGACGTCATCGAGCCGGTGCTGAAGCCGCAGTGGTGGGTGGCCTGTGCGGGCATGGCCGCCGCCGCCTGCGAGGCCGTGCGCACCAAGGCCGTGCGCATTGTCCCCGCCGAGTTTGAGGCCACCTGGTTCAGGTGGCTGGAGAACGTGCGCGACTGGTGCATCTCGCGCCAGCTCTGGTGGGGACACCGCATCCCCGCCTACTACGTCGCCTGGGAGGGCGATGAGGCGGGCGCGCCGGGCGCGCCCTCCGAGGACACCTCGCGCTGGGTGGTGGCGGCCAGCGAGGCCGAGGCGCTGGAACTGGCCGCGGCGCGCTTCCCGGGGCGTGCGCTGCGCCTGACCCAGGACGAGGATGTGCTGGACACCTGGTTCTCCTCCGGCCTGTTCCCCATGTCGGTCTTCGGCTGGCCCGGCGACTCCCCCGACCTGCGCCGGTTTTACCCCGGCGCGCTGCTGGAGACGGGGCACGACATCCTCTTCTTCTGGGTGGCACGCATGGTCATGCTCGGCCAGCAGCTCATGGGTGGGTTTGGGGGGGGGGGGAGGAGGGGAGGGGCGTGGGGGGGGGGAGA